CAGCCGGCAGCACCCCAGCTGCTCTGCCCCAGGCGTCCCCAAGAACAGCTGGGGTGCTGCCGGGTTGGTCTCACCGCGCCACGAGTCGGCGCTACCGGACCAAACCAGCAGCACTCCAGCTGCTCTGTTGCAGGCGTCCCCGATTCAGCCACTGCTAAAACTGACCAGCAGCGGCTGAATTAGGGATGCCTGGGGCAGAGCCAGACTATCGGAAGGGGGGGGCTATGAAGGGTCTGGGGTGGCATTCCCCCACCCCAACCCAGACCCCTCATAGCCCCCCCTTCCGATAGTCCGGCATATCTGATAATCCGGCACCCCCTGGGTCCTAAAGGTGTTGGATTATCGGAAGTTTACTGTATTAATATTACACCCCTGCTATTTTTATTTGTACAAGCCAAAATTAATCTACAAGTTCATTGTCTTATGAAACTGCAAGATAACTAAAACTATGTGTAATATAGTTTGCATTTGAAATAATTTTAAAAAGAGAAAAATGCCTTAAATTAGGATGATCTACTTTTTCCTAGGATGGTAAAATCCTTGGTTTTATCCAGGAAAAGCCACCTCTGGTAAATACCCATACCTGATTGCCACAAAAGTATTTTCAATCAAATTAACTTCCAGATAATACCCAGAACATGTCATGAGAAGGAAGTTACTGACCTTTGTCACCACCTTCTTATTTTAAATTATTTTAAACTGCTTAATTTGAAACAAGCTAGATTTGAATAGGAAAAACTTGCTAAACTATGTGGCTTTCCAGAACAGGGGTTTTCCAGATAGTACCACTGGAAGCCTAAAAAAACGACATCATCAACACTTGAATTTAATGTAGGGTCCAGTTATTTCACATTCAAGTTATGCTGTGCACTAATGGAATGCACAGTGCTGTATAAAACAAAGGTGAACATAGTAAAGTGTATCCTGGTGGAAGGATCAGTTGTACACAAAGTTAAAATGTAACGTAACCAACTTAGAATATGTCTTGGTATATGTGTTTAAGTTACTCTACACACACGATGCTAAAATAAGTAAGAACAATTATTATTTTGAAGGCAAATTGCTTCAGAGATAGTGAACTCCATCAAAGTCTGAAGCTAATTTTAAAAATCCAGTTTGAGTTAGGAGCACAAAAATCTATTTGAAGGTAACTTCACTTGTGGCCTAAAAATTAGCATGCCAGGGGACTGTCTAAAAATTAGTTAGAAAGTCACAAAAGTTAACAGGATGAAAATGCCTTAAATATAACTTGCCACAGTTAGTGGTTGTCAACACATGTAAGAGAAGGTTTTTTTTTTTTTTTAAATTTTATAATAATTTGTTGAAAATATATTTGTATATAAAAAAAATCTACACAGAAGCTTTTGTAATAATGCCCATCAGGAAACCAAGTTTTCCTTACAAAGCTAGTTGTGGAGGCAGTAAAAATCAGTATGCATTTAAGGTGCAGGTTAAGGCCTGATCACATTAGCTACACAGATGCAAATTTCTAGTACAGTACAGGCAGTCCCCGGGTTACGTACAAGATAGGGACTGTAGGTTTGTTCTTAAGTTGAATCTGTATGCAAGTCGGAACTGGCGTCCAGATTCAGCCACTGCTGAAACTGATCAGTTTCAACAGCGGCTGAATCTGGACTTACATACAGATTCAACTTAAGAACCCCAGGTATCCCCAAGTCAGCTGCTGCTGAAACTGATCAGCAGCTGATTCCAGGAAGCCCGGGGCAGGGGGGTCCCGTAGGCAGCCCC